GCAAAAATCCTTTGATGGCTGGAGAAGAGCTGCAAAAAAGAAATAAAAAAGAAAACATTAAGACAGATAGATGAATTGACAGGTCTTAATAGAGGTAAGATACGAGATGACTCCGTTCTTACCATCACCCTCTTTAAACATTGCTCGACGCAGATGAAGATCGTTATCAGGCGCAAACTCCCAGTTGCTCGAGGCGATGAAGTAATCATCTCTAGCACCTTTGTTGGAGTCTGGGAGGTCAGCTATAAGTTTATAGGCGGTGGATCTGGGCTTGAGGTAATATATGTAGCCTTTTTTAGACTTAAGGCCATACATGGTGTAATAGAATTGGATGTCGGCTAGAGTTATCCTGGTTTTTTCCCTCGTGCCAGTTTGATTATGCCATTTATAATCCTATATGAGTTGATAGCTAGCTACATGGGGTTAAGCTTGTAGTGATGAAGGACTTCCCTAAACAGGGTGTCTAGAGGGAATCGAAGTCCACACTTTATGAATGCAACGACTTGGAAGGGCATAGAATCTCCATCAGGCATGATAGAGTCCTCTTTCCCAGCCAATCTGATTTGAACGTCGGTTGGGATAAAGAACTCTCGACATAAGTGCTCCAATTCGGTCATGGTATCTACTCTCCACCTAAACATACCCATGATCTTGGCTTAAACTATTTTTTGATGGATTTCAGAGAAAAGACACTGGTAGAATTTGGAGAACCTCGGCTACGCTCAAGAGAGTACTAAGGTGAGGATTGAGAAGATCTAAAAAGGGAAATTTGTTTCGATTTTCCTAGGTGTATGATTTCTGGCAAATCCTAAACCTAAATCTACAAAGATCAGAGGCAACGATTTGAAAACAAGCAAGAAAAATAAAGAAAAGGAACATGATTCAGAATTAAAAAGGATCAAAGACAAACAAAGTTCAAGAATCAAACGAAGCAAAAATATGGAGAGAAACACAGATATGGCAAGAATGGTGCCAAAATTCAAGAACACAGATATGATCAGTACAATAGTGAGTACTCAAATGGGCGAACAAGAAATCAGATTTTCATACACAGAACAATCAAGTTTGTAAAAGTTGTGGCCAAATGTGCAATAACAATATTATTGAGCATCCCAGAAATACAATAACAAACTTCAAAGAGTGAGGCAGACTCAAGAACAGAAAATGGCTTATATTATTCAGAAATTGAAGTGAAAACAGAGAAAATAGGTTACGACTACGAATACAAATGCAGATTCTACAAACAACATATACAATATGGAACATATGGCAAGAGGAAGTTATATTGAAGAACATAATCAAAAAGCAGTAAAGAATTGAAGAAGGAAAAGAAAAAATTAAAGAACTTACCGAGTAGGGCCGAGGAAACGACGCCAGAGCAATACTTGTCGAAATCAGACAGTAATAGTCACCGAAGCGGAACAATGAGTGCCTCACCGGAAGTAGTGGACGGCGTAATTGTAGGAGCTTGAGAGAACTCAAAAATGGTAGAATGTAGAGAGAGAAAATCTCGAACAAAAGGGAAATTGATTTTGCAAAAGTGAAAAGACAGGGAGAAAGAGAGAGAAAAATTTTGTCAAAAATACGAAAAGGCAGTAAAACATAATGAAATGCCTTGGACGACGTGCTTGTCAGGCAGTGTGGACAGAAATGACGCGCCCTAACAATGCATGTCAGGTACAAAGCAATGAGGAAAAGACACGTGTATGAAACGGCTGAAAAGGTTGTGCGTGACAACTCATACGCGGTTAGAACTCTTGACATTCTTGAAGTAAATGAAGCAATAACCTCGGCTAAAGGAGTGATTTGGTTTAAGATGCTTAAAGAAATTGATTCTTGATTCTTGATTCTTGATTCTTGATCCTTGGTAAAGTGGACAGTTGAGTGATGGTTATATGAAGCCGATGAGTCATGATCTCGGTTGAAGAGAAGAGTGAACGTTAGTCGACATGCTATATGGACAAACGATGTAGGTTCCATCATCTCAGGTTACCAAGGTAATAGAACCTAGGGAGTAGTTGTGGGGACATATTTTATGAATAATAGCACATGGCTAAGGTGACGCCGAAGTCTCAGTCGAGGTGCCACGTGGCCTGGTCATGATGCCGAGATAATCTCAGCTAGGCCAAGGTTATCTGCGGAGATGCCGGATTCTGAGATAAGCAGATAAGGGACAAGAGTCCTAGAACAGAGGAAGATCTCATTCTGGATAAAAATAAGGCTCAAAAAGAGTTTATCTCTATCTAGATGAGGGTTCAGGATGAGCATTGAGCCTGAGTCTATTAAAGCAAAGCTTCTAAAGGGATCAGGTCATTGCTAGTTATAAAAACAATGCACCCTCGTGGGTTTGAGGTAGGTTCTTTCTTGTGAGTTTAAGCACAATTTGCTATATTTGAGAGATATCGATTACTGACTTGATCGTCGGAGTGCCCCCGGGTAGACAAACCACCGTCGGATTCTCATCTTCTTGTGTAGGTTGTTGGGCTTAATCTATTCTGTCGATACTCTCTAGTTAAGTTCCTCGTTTGGTTGTGTGGTCAGAAACCAACACCCACAGTTTTCTAAGATGAAATTCAGATTCTACCCTTAACTATATTTTATTTGATGCGTGACATGTCTTAGAAAATATTTGCATCTAACAAATAATGATGTTACTGTTTGTAAGGCTCAACATCATATGGTTGGCATGCGGTGGAGTCAACATCGATTAGGTTTGATTGGGTTTTGTCCACGCTGCACTACCTAAGCTACGTTTGGGAAGTAAATTTGGGCAAAAATAGTCATATAGGATAAAATTGACTATTTTAGTTAAATAGGACAAAATATTGCATTCAATCTATAATCATTTCAGATTTTTCTCTCATAAAAGTCAAAAAAACTAAAAAGTCTATCACAAACGAAATTTTTTAACCCTATGTTAAAATAGTCAAAAAACCCAATTCACATCTCAAACAAAGCCCTAATAAAAACACATGCAATTCTAAACTTAGCCTCACTTATTACTATTGGCCTAATCAAACCATTCTAAACTAATTCCTAAGAGAAATGGGAATATTACTAATTTGTTCTTAATTAACTTATTGTCCCTTAGATTTTAGAGACACTTCATATGCACTATTATGGAGATATTACTAATTTGCTCTTAATTAACTTATTATCCCTTAGATTTTAGAGACTCTTCATATGCACTATTAAGTCTTTAAATGATTTTAATATCCTCATTAAATATCTTTTATTCTCTCTCATCTTTCTTCTATTTTTGAAATTTCACACCACCACCATTCATTGCCACCATCACTATCTATTGTCGACCACCGTTGCAACTGTTCACACCACTATCGTTGACTATCCGACACCACTACTACTATCGTCTACCTGCCATTGCTGCCGCCACCTCATTGTTCGATCTCCGCCATCGTTCACCAACAATTTCCATAATATTTATTTAAACTCCACTGTCACCGATCTGCATTTCATCATCGCCGATCTATACAGTTCTATCATGCATACCTATTTCGGATAATGGTAATGCTAGGGATATCTAATTTTCTACCAAATAAATGACCAAATGTCTCACATGGGTGTGGGGTCTACTTTGTGGAGCCCACATCCTTGTGAGACATTTAGTTATTTATTTGGTATAAAATTTGGAAACTATAGCATTTTCCTTCAAATAAATTTCTGGGATCCAAAATCCAAGTCTAGGTATGGCAACGAATTTGATTTTGTGCATAAATTCTTACTTTTAAACTCAATTATTTTAGCAATACGATTTCATATTTTATTATAAACTTGACAGTTTTAACCTATCTACCACTATACTTTATGGTATCTAATCAATGCTCTTTCAAATTATTTATATTAAAATTAAATTGAAGAAATATAACAGGGTTAGAGAATTTTGCCATCCTTACCTGGGTCCCTAGCTTTTTTGTTGGGCAAATTTGGCTATAGACCCCTTTTACCTTCATTTTATAGTTAAAAGGACCAAGGAAAAAAATTATACTTTCAAAACTCCCTCGTAATTATAAAATCTTGTATAAAGGACAAAATTTATTATTTAAATATTTTATCAGAGTATTATACCCTCAACTAAATCTTCCTATCCCTCTGTCATGGCTTCACTATCGCCTTCGTCGCTCGCCGCCACTCGTTGATCTCTCCCCCTGTCACCGCCGTCCGTCGATCTGACTCTCTCTATCGCCGTTACCCATCGATCTCTCTCCATCCGTTGCCGCGGTGCTACTCCTCTCAGCTTCTCTACCACACCGCCGCCACCGCCGTTGTCACCATCTTTGAACATCACTGTTGTTCTCTCTCTCTCTCTCTCTCCCTCCTCCATCTTTCTTCCTGCCATCGTTCGTAGCTACGACGACGTTAATGGCGTCATTGTGAGCTTTAATCGACTACAGACATTGACGATCATTGAAGGGTTAAGGTTTCGAACTCCCTCATGAAGTCGATGAGAGATATAGAGATAAGAAAAGCCAATTGTAGCTCCTTATCCGCCTCTTTCTTAGATCTCTCTATTTTCTATTTTATCTTTCCTTACCTCTCTCTCAAAGGCTAGAAAGCAATTTGAGTTGTAGATATTGCCTTATTGTTTTCAATTGGCTTTTTTTTTTTAATTTGTTAATAGATCTAAGAGTAAAATTTGATTCTAGTTCATTCGTTTAGTATGTATTTTATTTTTTGTAACAGTAAAATTTTACTTTGGTTAAAAACATGTTGATTTGCTTAAAAATATAAAATTTTACTTTAAATCATAGTAAACTTTACTGTGATTTAAAATAAAATTGTATTTTCAGAATAAAATTTTACTCTGAATTAAAGTAAAATTTTACTTTAAAATACACTGTGAGGATGACTTGTGAGGATAACTTAATTGGAGAGCTGATAGATGAGAGCAGTATAGTAAAAGAAACAAACAAATTTTAAAATATCAAAGGTTTTTGAAAGCATTTGTATAATTCTTATCATTTTAAAAAAGAAACCTTACTCCCAAACCAAAAACGACCCGACCCGAAACCATACTACATTCACTAACTCGGCCATCTCACGCAGCCCACGCTAGAGTAACAAGCGCGAAGCACTGCGATTAGGGCTTAGGGTTTTCAAGTTTCGAAGTTCATCTCGAGAACGTAAGGTTGGTTGATATCATCATCATTCTCCCCTCTTACTTGGTTTTAATTTTATTGTTCTTCTGTTTGATTGAATTCTGAATCCTAACCTGTTTGGTTGCTTAGAAAACGAATCTTATCTGTCCATATGTAGGTGGAATTGACATGAAGGTTCTACTTGATCATACCTAATTAGTTGAAATAGGCTTCCTTTGAGAGTTTTTGTGTTGTTTTCTTTTTATATAGCGTTAGAATTTCAGAAATTTTAGATTTCCGTTTCGGTTTCTTTCCCTTTTTCTTGGGAACCAAAAAGATTTTGGTAATTTTTGTGGTCTCGTAAAAACCGAGTTATGGTGTTCTTTTGGTTTGCTCTTCCTTTCTTTCCAGTGATTGCAAAATGAAGTGAATTACAATGAATTTGAGCTGTTATAAGTGGCCACAATGAATCTAAAGCCCCAAACTTTTTTTGGAAACAAAAAGAAAAATAGTGTTATGCCATAGGCTAACAACACCTATTGATGTCATTATGCTCTCTATAATCCTTTTCTATCCATGCAATCAATCTAATGTTGATGAAAAATGGTATGGTTGTATCCACGAGGATGTGCTTGAATGAATAAGCCTGCCTCCTCTGATTGACTCCTATTTTCACATAGAGACTCTCTTTGATCCGTTTGGATCATGGGGTGAGAAAAGAAAAGAAATGATTATATTTTTTCACCTAGATGAGAAAAGAAACGAAATGATTATGATTTCTCACCATTGTGTTTGCATGAATAAAAAGAAGAGAATGTGGTTTCTTACCTATTTTATTTGGATAGAGTCAATAAAAGAAAGTGTTTTATTTCATTTTATCAAAATAACCTTCTATATTAAAAGGTTATTTTTCCAACTTCTTCCACTATAGGGTAATTTTGGCATTTTAGAAAAGTTTCATTAAATCTATTTATTTTCTTACCAAATCTCATCACTTTTGATGAGAAACAAAACAAAGCTTTGGTGAAAGTTATTTTCTCACAATTTGTCACTTACTTAACCATCCAAACAAGTGAAGGGATTTTTTATTCTCACCATTTCTCTTCTTTTCTCACCAAATCCCTCCATCTAAACGGAGTGTTAGCATATCAAGGGCATCAAGAAATTTGCTAATATTTTGAAGATTTAGTGTGAACTTAAGTCCACTTGGAAGCTATAATTGTTAGATGAGCTGAAAGGGGCAAGTCATGGTATTAATGTTAGATGAGTCATTTTTTGAAAATCGGCGTGTTCTCGTGTCCGTGTCTGTGCTACATAGCTTTTTATATACTTTGTAAAAAATATTAATTTCTTCTTTTCCAAATTCATGTATTTTGCAGAATCAATAAAATGTGGAATATGTAATAGTTTTCTTTCCACTTCTGCTGTGCACATCTTTCACGGGCTAAAAGGTTAACAACCTACATTTATGGTGATCAATTTTGATCTCTTGTATTATATGACTTTGCAAAGGAGCAATTAAACATAAAGGAAGTTTCAAAGGATTCTGTTTACGCCAACAAGAAGATAGTTTTCTATCTACCAGCTGCAATCTACCTGCCACACTTGATTCACGGATAAGGGGCAGGGTAGAACTGTTTTTTCTTGAGATAAATTATCCCGCTTTTGGTTCAGATTTTGTGAACTGGGATGGCTTGATAACTTATCCAGGCGGCCCTTTTATCCTACATATGTGTGATAATTTTGTCCCATTTTGTCCCAGGGAAAGATGGGACAACTTAGCCCATATTGAGACTTTCGTCACAAAATCACTAATGTACCTTCCTCAAGATAACTAATCCTTTCCGAAACTCAAATATGGTTAAAGTTTAGAACTTGAATGCCTTAAAAATCAGTTGCAGAATTCTACCATGGCTGGTTACATTAGGTTAATTGCAGTAGATTTTGCATCTCAAGGGTGTTTCTTGAGTTTTGTTAAATTCACAGGTGAAAGGCAATAGTTTCAGAATCCTAATTTTTTACGTCCAGTGCTCAACATTGGATTCTGTATCTTTTATCGGCAAAAGTTATGAAATCGATTAAATTTGTGTTTGGTTCACAGGTTGAAGGCACACCAAAACAAAGTTCATTTCTTGGAAGATGGCTGGGGTGTTGCGTTTTGGCAACCTTGCACCCAAGACCAAGAATCTGGTGGTTGCTGGAGGGTTGACAGCATTTGTTTTTGGTGTTTATTTCTACACCATGAGAGCTGTTGGAGGTACCGATGAACTTCAGGTGGCTATTGATAAATTTGAAGGGCAGAAAAACAAGAACTAGGTTGAAGCAAAGATTGGCATCCCAGGCCTAATGTTTCTTGTTGTGGCTCCCGTTGGTTTTTTTTTTTTTTTTCACCGGTAATGGAGATTTTTCTCTTGAATCTTTTTTTTTTTTTTTGGATCTTCAAAATAACTTCAGTACATAGTTTTCAATCTAGTTTGGCATCGAAGGCCTAATCCTCTTGACTCTTTTTCTTTTTGAACATGCATGTTGATGTATTTGTTTAGAACTAAAATAAAATAAAATAGACTTGAGTTGTTTGTGACGGGTGCATGTAGGTATAGCTTGAGCCGCAACATGAAATCTGATAATGAGATGGACCCTTGAGATATCCATGTAATTATGGAAATTTCTTTCTGCACAAGAGTACAGAAAGGAGAGTCAGAACCTGATATATAAGTGTGAATTGCCTCCTTTTTACTTGGAAAAATACTATTTTTACAAAAAAAATTCCATACAAAATGATGTATCACTGACATTTCAATCATATGTAATTTCAATGGACCCTCTACTTTAAAATAATTAGTTTTAATACAATCATGCCATTCTTTATACAAATTATGTACAATTATTCTATTTATTTATCGTTACTCTTTTATTTAATTTAAATTTTCAACGTAATGAAGCTTCTGCTTTATCAAACATCTCTACACACACACAAAGGATGGTAGAATTTTTTTCAAAGAAAATCAAAAAATACCATGTCATTCTTTCACTTTTTGCAAGGAAAGTTAGGAAGCAAACCACCAGGGAAGTTAGGAAAGTTTAGGCACCTACACCAAAATAAGATGCCTCACAAACTATTTCACCACATGCTAGAAAAAAACAGATTTGCTTCATGATGTAACCGAATAAAATGTTAGTTCTGTGTTAGGTAAAGACGCCTCACAATCTATTTCAACACATGCTAAAAAATACAGATTTGCTTCATGGTGTAACCGAATAAAATGTTAGTTCTGTGTTAGGTGAGGACTCTGTTTGAGGTTGAGCTACATTGCCCAGTTTGCACCAAGAGATTGATGAACAAAATATTAATAACATCAGCACAGAGAAAAGTGCAAAAGAACAATCCCAATTTTAACACAAATTCAGCAATGCACTGGCATTGAAATAATCTATGAAATCACCGTGTAATTCAGATGGAAGCCAAAGTTCGTAACCACTGTCACTCGCGTGAGCAACATCATGAAACAATTATGTCAACCAATTGGTTAATAAAGTCTATAGTTTGTGAAAATAATCAGCATATGGTTTTTTATGTCTTCTGGCCTCCAATCAGGTCTACGATGTGTTCATAAATTGTATCACATCACATATACAAGTTGCCAAAAGTTGGGACTCATATACTACAGTGTCGTTCTATTCACTCATAGACAGAGAGGACTTCAATCTTCCTACAAGATGTGGCAGTGTCTTGACGCTGTCTTGTATTGACTGGTCGACACATGACTCCAAATCCTTCATGGCGTCGCTTCTGATCTGCTGGAGCTTGGCTGCCTCAAATTTGTCTTGGCAGACCATTAGAGACCTATTCAACCTTTCCTGAATACGTCATCAGAAAAAAATGTTCAAATAATCTTTTATTAGTTTACAGAACCACTGCTAGAACACATTCATACAAAAAGTTTCGAGCACAATCAGAAAAATAAGGCTTAGTTTGGTTATGAAAAAACACACAATTTTCTAGCCCATTAAGTCCACAAGGACACGAGCAATGCTTATAGGAGATTCAAGAGTCAATTTGGCCGACCCTATAACCCATAAAAAATAGTGAACAAAAAGACCAGTAAATGATAAATTTAATAAATAAATAAAACCCTCCACACACACACATACAAGGGAGAGACGAAAAATAAGTCCAAAATCTATGTCAACATATTAATATACGTGGACAGGGACCTATAGTTCATTTTTCATTCAGCTGAGCCCAAAGCTTGTGTCATCCTCAAACAATGAATGAAACCCAATAGATGAGGCCACTCAAAGGCCTTCAAAGAAGCCTTAATGCATAAAAAGCAAAGTTTTAAAAAGCTTTGCTGAGGCTCGCCTTGCCTCGAGGCTAAGGTAAAATGCATCAAGGCTTTGATTTTCAGGCATTACTCCCCAACGGCTTGTGCATCACAACTTGAGATATGCCTTTTGCGCATAAGCATATGAGGAGTGCGCATATGCAGAGATTGCCTTGGGCTTTTGTTAAACTTAGTCTAGTAGATTGTTTAAACATAAAAAAATAAAAAATAAAAAATAAAAGAGTCCCTTTTTGCAACTATATTCTATAGGAAAAATTAAGTAAAATGATCAATCAAGAAAAAACACAGTTAATGGCCAAGTGAGAAGCTCCATCACTAAAGTTAAGAATATCAATTTCACTTTCAGTGAAGGCAAATTTCCTTTTATGCAGTAAAAAAAATTCAACACCTTGAGGAGAAAAGTATTTACACCTTTACATTTAATTTTGTTTTTATTTTTTTTACTATTTTAAAATATTTAATTTATTCACTAATTATTTACACCTCAACGCCTTGAGACCTACGCCGCGCCTCATGAAGGGTAAAATGCCTCGGAGGTACACACTTGCCTTTAAAAACTTTGATAAAAAGTGTCATAAGGTTTTCAAACATTAAGGCTAAAAACTTTTCCTACTAAAAGGACTCCAAATTTAGAATCTTCATACTTTAGTAAGAGTATCCTACACATAGGAAAGACCAGAGACAATCCCAAAATGCAACCCATGGAACATTGCCTCAGTTCATCAGAAACTTTGGAAATTAACAAAGATACCCCTGGCCAGAAAGTACATAAAATTTCTTTTCTTTTCGTTATTTATTTTTCATTCCATTTGAGTTAGATCATCCCTTAACCTCACTCGGTCTGCCTTCTGATGGTTGTGCTAGAACAAAATAATTTTAATCTTTTGAGATAATTCCGTTTAAATCTGTGAACCTCTTGATGCTTTTTGGTAGAGCATCAAGAAATATGCTTCCACTTTTGCCATCTCAAGATGCCTCATTTATACTGGGCTTTCCAAGAGCCTCATGCAATCTGGTAATGCTAACACTTTACCTTCATTTGTGACAGAAAACACAAATATGATAGGAAGCTGATGTTTAGGGGCCAAGATGGTAAGTTGGTAACAGGAAAAGTCCTTGATGCCATACTAAGTGATTCCAAAGCAGCGTCATTCCAAATTGAACATCCCTGCCAAAGAATCAACAATCTCACTAGACTGCTCATATCTGGCTGTGTCTCACTTCTTTACCATAAATAATCCCTTGTCCAATTTCCTCAACAACCTATATGTCTTTTCTTTCCACTCAATCCTCAAACCCTCATCTCTGGAGGGTGCAAACATACCAAGTTGTGTCAGCCAGTGTCAGCCAGTTTAAGCTCAGTTTGCCTAAAATTTCAGATGTTCAAACTTTAGTCAGCACTCCTGACAAGCTTAACCATCTTCAAACCTAACCGGTTCGGCAACTACACAATCTTTCAAACTCAGCTTGTCTTGTATGTATTTTGTTATGCGTAACATATACCAACTTTCCAATTTACTACAATTTTGAAATGTCAAATTAATAAGAGTGAAAAAGCTAGTCGGGCTTTGATCTGGACATCCCAGTGCCAATAAAAAAAAAAAGAGTGAAAAAGCTGATCAAAAGCGTAGGAGAAATTAACAAATTCTATATAAACTAACGTGATTGTATCATACTTGACATTACTTTACTTCTAGTGTGGCTTATAGATCTTCAAATTTAGAGAAGGTGTTTGCACCCATTTTTGCTGGGTCTATCGACAGGTGGACCGGTTGGAGTGTGACATGTGGTAAGGTCAAGTGAGGGTTCAACAGTTATTTGAGTGGGCAAGCAACATGAGAGAGATTAATAATGTGCATTAAACAGTGCAGATGATGGAGCAGTTACTGGCTAAGTCATGGGCTTAGTAGGTGACTTGCAAAAAGAGGAATGTGCCAGGTGGGAGTTTTTATCTGTCGATGGAGGGTCCAAGAGATATGTGGCAACTTAGAGGGGAAGCAATTCGACATGAAGAGATGAAGGATTGGAGAGGTTTGACAGCCTAAAGGTCAGGAAGCAGTTGCAGCAGTTACGCAGTGATTGTTACAAGACTCAAGGAGGTCATGCGATCATGGGCCAGGAAAGAAAGGAGAGGATATAAAGGCTAGAGATTTGAAAGAATAAGGACATTAACAACAACATAACAACTTAGCTTTTAGACTTGGGAGTAGTTCATTGTAATTTAGGAGTAATTTTTTCCTTTACAACTTGAACTTTGTAACTGGGTAAACGTTGGTGATTTCAATTTGAAATTACTCTTGTTTATCTTGTCTACTTTGTTACCATCAATTGATATAAAAAGTTTGTTTTCTTCCTGTCTACTTTGTTACTATCAGTTGATCCAAAGAAGCCCTCATCCTTTTGAGGCATTCAAACCAGTACCACAATTGCTTAATTGTTCCTCTTTAATTGTCTAGTTTGAATTATTGTTTGGTTGCCGTCGATCTAGACCTAGCATAATTTTTACTAACAGAAGGGCATCACAAATTTTAGAAACCTACATCTTGCAATTATTATGTTCGCATCCACGAGCCAACTCAAGCCAACCTTGGGCCTGTCTGACTTTCATTGCTTGCTACATTCGCTTGAAAATTAGCCTTGATTCATCTAGTAAATAAAGGAGTTGAAACGAGTCAATTGTCTAGCCAAGTCCAAGTTGTTTGTGAACAACTCAACTTATTCGCAGACCTACATTTCTGTCATATTTTCCCTATGATTATGCTCCGATATTTCAACTCAATATCCTGGACATTGCCCTGAACCGTATCTTCACAACGATTGATTGAAATCATCAAAAGCTTTACTAATCTTACCCCTTCGCTGACCTGCTACCATCCTATCGCCTGCCTGCCACTACGCTTGCGGCCAAGCCTTTCCGAGAGCTTGAAGAGGCATTCTTGCTAATGAAAGATGGGCATACGGATGATAGAGACAGGCACCCCACTGCTCCTGCAACAGCTACTGCTCCTGCTGCTGCACTCTAGGCACTTCATCTTTCCTGCCTTTCTAATAGCTCCCGTTGTCGCTATGGTAGGTAGGGGAAGAACTGAGTAGAGATATCTATATTAGGGTAAGCACTGCCATCAACTTCCTTCATGCTTTTAGTTTAGTATGGTCTCTAAGAAAAAAGTGGGGCCTATGTTCTTTCTTTGATATACCTTGACCCAAATCTACAATTGCCATACTTGTGTGTGCTATATGTGCAGATTGAATATGATTCCGACCAGTTCAAACAACAACAAAATGTGGGTAAAACCGATTATTGCAAATTTCTTTTCAAGTTTCAAAAAAAAAAAAACCCTTACTTGAAACTTGGCCATTTCAGTGTCAACAAGATTCTGGGCTCTGAGAACAGGGACGCTGCAATTTTCCACACAATTGTTAATCTCATCTTGGGTTCTGGTCCTGTCAAAGCACTGGTACGCACACTTGAAGTAGGATTGCTGCAGAGACGATTCAAAATCAAAACAACCCATCACACAACAATCAAATATAGGCATTGTATATGCTATGCATAAAGAAAGAAGAGTTCTGAGAGAGAGACCTGAAGAGTGAAATTGACGTGGTCTTGGATAGGAGAGAGTTGGGTTTGAGTTGCTGTGTTTACTTGGTTGAGTTTTCTCCTCAATCTCTCAGTCACAATTTGCTCTTCAGCTGCTGCTATGTGATCCATATCTGGGTTTGTCTGTCTCCCTTTCTCGCTGGGTAGTACTAGTAGTAGTAGCGAGAGGGGTTTAAGGGGGCTTTCGGTGCGGCTCTCTTTCTTTGCTCGCTTGGGAGAAAAGGGTATATAGGGCTTTCAGCAATGATAGAGATCACTGTACCCCACGACCCCCTTTGTGATTCACACCATTCGTGATGTGGACTCTACACATAGATGAGTGGGCCTCACACATCATGAATAGTGTAGATCAGTAAGGAAGTTGTGGGAGTCCTCCACAAAAGAGGTCTGACTCATTTTTCATAAGACTTTCGCTACACGTGGCCCTTTCCATATCAAGTAAACGTAAGTATTTGTTAAAAAATTTTAACCTCAAATTTAAATTTGGGGCTCATTTAGAAACATATTTTTTAATAATATTTTAATTTTTTTAGTTAAAATATGATATAAAAAATGTTTGAGATGATTTTTTAATTTTTTACAAAAAGATATGCAAAAAAGTATAGAGAGAAAATAAATTTTTTGACTTTTTGGTATAAATTGTTGACTTTTTAATTTTTTTTAGTGACTTTTTGATTTTTTTACTAAAAAAGTCACTTGCCAAACGAGGCCTTAAACTTGTTCAAATTTTAATAAGGGTCCGTTTGGAAATATCATTTGGGTTAAAATAGTTATATAAGATAAAATAAATTATTTTAGTCAAATAAGATAAAATGTCATATGTAACTCATAATTATTTCATTTTCTCTCTCACAAAAGTTAAAAATACCAAAAAATATATCCTAAACAATACTTTTTAGCCCAAAAATAACTAAAAAGTCAACCTGCATCTCAAATGAAGGCTAAATAAGTTCAAACATATTAAAATTCAACTCGTTAACTGATTCATTTAACATTTATTATTTATATGTTAAACAATATAAAAATATGTATAAAAAATAATATGTTATTTATATATTTAAAAAATGTAAATTGCAAATAATAACTAACTATAGATAATATATTTATAAATTAGTAATGGTAGATATTATTATTTTGATAAAATATTAATTTTTTTTTAGTATGTTTATATATGTTGTATATATAATTATATAATCAAAATTTTAATTCACTACAACAAAATGGTTCTTTAATGACAAAATCATTTCGTCTCCAATAGTGAAATTTTCGTCACCAAATTTATCTGTGACGAAATAATTCCGTCACCACGTTCGTCACTAATTCGTCGTCACTAAAAGTACTTGATGACGAAAATTATTTTGTCACCTATTATTGGTATTTGGTGACGAAATATTTCGTCACTAAATGTTAAATATTTTGTCACCTATAACATTCATTTCGTCACTAAAATTAAATAAAATTTTATTATATTTGTTTTGGGTGACAAAATATTTCGTCATTAAAAATAGCGATAGAATTTTTAGTGATAAAAATATCGTCACCAAAAGATGGAAAAAAAAGACCCTTCAGTGACGAAAACTTTTGTCAACAAATATTTTAATTTAGTGATGAAATAGTAAATATGTGTGACGAAATTATTTGTTGGGATTAAAAAGTTTTAGTGTCAATTTTTTTTCGTCACCAATAATAAATAAATTTTAAAAATTGGGGGAAGGGTTATATTTGCAATTTATATATTTTTTTCAATAAACAATACCTGTACATTTTAATAATCTATTAAATAAAATATCCAATACAAATCAATATAAAATTAAACTGTTCATTATCATAAAATAACCCAAGCAAAATACATGTCTCATAGTATTAAGAAATTAATATATAACATCCAAACCATAACATCTATTCTAGTAAAATCAAAAACTACAACACAATCAAAATAACTTGTGCTTTTAATAACCTGCTGAATATAATCCCCATTACAAATCATTACAAAAACCTGTTCATTTGGTAATATCAACAAAAACCTGGTCTTTTAATCTATTCAATAAAATATCAACAAAAAGATAAAATTCATCACAATATAATCATAACCCACAACAACATAGTCAAAATACATGTTTAGTAATATCAACAAAAAGTACAACTACACGGTGATGGATGTGTCTGGTAATATCAACAAAAAAACTCTTGCTATGTAGGTTACCAAATTCGTTCATCTCCAATCTGCCATTTAAAAAAGAAAAGAAAAAAACGACAACAACAACAAAAGGTTAAGGTAACCATTCACTAAATATGTTAATATGCAACTTAGAAGAGAGAAAATAAAAATTTCAAAGTAAATTTGAAACCAAATTTTACCGTGCTTTGTTTCCTCTCTGACTTTTGAAACCTTACAATTTGTTCATTTTGCTGTGCTATTTGCATGTTCATCAGGTGGAGGACTGTCAGCAGTATCCTAAAAGAGAGAATAAAGTAGAAATTAACATAACAAGTTTTAAAATAGGAGAAAACTTTATCACAGTCAATGAAATATATGAATCTAATAATACATGGTTCCGCAATAAGGGTTTCATAATTCACTAGCTTAGTTTAACAACCATGGAATAAATGTAAAAATGCCAGGGTTAAACACAAAGTATCTTGGAACATTTAGAAGTGAATTTGAATGAATATATGACACTAGAACTTTTCTAGTGTCAAAAGGCAATAGCGTGCCTTGGTGCTGAATTATCAGATATAGAACGATGAAAAAAAAAGGGCATGATAAAAAAGAACAAGGAAACCTAACTTTCTCATCAAAAGAAGTATCTTCACCAAAATCAATAAAGTTTTTATGAGCTTAAATCCTATGATAGCTTATGTTGAAACCACGAAATGGGTAAGCTTACATATCTGGCCACACTATCGATGATTTAGGCCTCAAATAGATGAGTTTGGATTTGTGAATCCCAAAGGATCATTGTTTCATGCTGTGGTGACTTCAGTTTGAGACGGCCGTTGAACTAAGAGCAGTCACTTGTGCAAGTATTTAATCAAACAAGCATAAGTATGGTGCATACATTGTAAAACAAAAGATTTTATTTTAAATATCATGGACCCAATATCTACCATAAGCTTACATATCTGGCCATACTATTGATATGGTGCCATTTTTCATATATGTAATTAGTCTAAGGCATTGTTTGATCCAATGCAAATTTAGAATCAAGGGCATTTACGGCAGCTCCCTGCTTATATATATATATACATATATAATAAATAGAAAATAACCATCTTATTTTGTTTTTATTTCCTCCAAATAGGCACCTTTTGCTAGTCAAAGTTGTGTGTGGTGGAATGCTAGGGTGGTCTTGTTTTGCAGAATGCATTCCTTAAGACCAAAGCCTTAATTGGAAACTGGCTGGAGAAATTCACTAGAGACTATAGTGAAACAGTTCCCCTTGCCACTTTCCATAGCAAGAAAAGTCCACCCAAAAAAAAAAAAAAAAAAAATGTTGGGATGCAAACCACCATATGCACATTGAGACGAGCCAAAAAAAAAAGTCCCTACCAAATGACTCAAATCTCCCATAGAACTTATAAAAGAATATTAGGAATTCCTCAACCTCCAAAACCAAAATGTATATATATACACAAATAAATATAAGTATTATGCAATTATTCTTTCCACTAAGTTTAACAAGTAATCCTCAAAGGGCACCATCATCGAAGCCTGTCCATATATGTTGCTCACAGAACCCATATGCCAATATCCCATCATATCAAGAGCTTAGGCATGATCCAACAAATTCCAAAAATATAAAATAACAAGCATAGTGAACACAAGCCACCTCAAATGCTTATTCAAAGTAAAATTGCAAAAGAAATGCCTTTCACTCCCTTCCATAACAATATATATTGGAGCTTCAGAAGATAATTTTTCCATAAGAAAATCACGTCCAAGAAATTTCTGTTGATAATAGTAAGATATGGCAAATATGATCAAGACTTGTAGGAATCAGAAATCTCAAGAGATGGTTGCTACATACATACTAATTATGTAACTTGGGTTTTTTGTTTGTTTAAATCAGATCTATGAACATGTGAGACACTAGAACAAAAGGTGACCATGGAATGTGCCCAGCCCATGAAACCAGACCTTCACTTTGGTCTTGGTCCTCTTTAGGACTGACAAAGCATTGGCTCAGAACCATCGATGCAAAGCTGCAATTTATATTTGAATTAATAAACATGGATGCAACAGTGGGATGGCAATGGGCCGGGGTTTTTCTGGTTTCACACGCGATTTCTTGATTTTAAACTCAACTATTTTGGTGATACAATTCCATATTTTACTAAAATCCTGACAGTTTTGACCTTCTTACCCCTATCATTTACCCTACCCCATCAATGTTCTCCCAAACCTTTTTTAATTAAAATCGGGTTGGGTAATTTTGCCATCTAGTGGCATGGTCTATGACCTATTGAGCATCCTCTAAGAATCCAAAAATATGAATGTGGTTGTAGATAAAGAAGTAGCTGTTCTTTGTCCTTTAAATGAAAGCATGAAATTTTCTTCAAGCCAATTCCGTTAAATCATACCTCTCCAATAGTTAAAGCATGAATTTTAGTCTTAGAGTCAACTTGTTGCCCGACCCAGACAAAGATGTCTGAGTGACAATCCAGGACGAATATATCTTCAGTCATCAAATCATCTTGGTTGAAGTTGTATATCTCAATCACCTGCAGCAACAACTCAATTCAAATTCATGGAGCAGAGAATCAGCAAAACAACAGGTATTAGATGCGGCATGCAGGTTAGCAACAATATTTCTCACATCTTTCATTCCATATTACATTCTTATAAAACAATGCAAGTTCAATACACAAGAATGTATTATTACTAATATAAAACCCATGCCATGACTGAGAAGCGAAAATTTGTTTAGAATGACACTTGATTGCTTTTATTACGGAAGACCAAAAACGAAAAAAGAAACAGGACTTGGAAATGATAGGCTTTTTATTTTTGATTTTTAAAAACGAAATTTCATAATGTCCTGTTGCAAATACAATCTTGACTTAGCAAGGGAAAATTTCATAATTTCATAATTGACAACCTTGTTTAGAAGATGATCTTGAAAGGCATTTTTAGTAAAATTGCATAGAAGGCCTTTGAAGGTAGACAAGTCAAAACACCATGTAAATCACTATGGATAGAAACCTAGTACA